CGCCGTCGCCGCCGCCGCCGCAGCAGCAGCAGCAGCCGCAGCCGCCCTCCCGCCGGAAAGCCACTAAAATAGGCTGGCCTAATGTTATGGGGTGTTTTGGAAGCGCCGCGGCCAAGACGGACCACGACGATGCGAAAAAGGGCAAGGAGACGAACAAAAAGATAAACCAGCAGCTGCAAAAGGACAAACAGGTGTACAGGGCCACACACAGGTTACTGTTGTTGGGTGAGTGAGAGCGAATTTATTTATTTTTTAAATTTTTCCCGTCTTAAATTTCACTTCTGTCGGTTATACGCCGCTCGTCCGGCATGTCGCCGCGCCCCCTCCTTCTTACGATCGACAACCATAACCACCCTTCAATTCTGGTTTTTGGTGGGTGCTTGCCAAGTACAAATGCCACAGCCCTACAAAAGTCTCATTAGAATTTGGACATCCCCAAATTTTGGAGGAATCATCAGGCGATTGTTTGGTATTGGACTCAGCACAGCGCAATTACTACTATTGCCCCCCTAAATGTTTGCTCAATGTATCGATCGACTTATAAGTCTTAAGATATCAGTGATTTCTGTGTGTTGTCTTATTGGTCTTCTGCATGAATCTTAATCCCTACAAAACCTTACTGCTTTCAATAATGAAAGTTATACAAATTCAATGCATTATCATTCTTGTTGATAATGGATTTTGAGTGGTCTCTAAGTCTCTCTCTGGAGTTCTATTTTATGCTTTCTTACAATTTTCAAATTGTTTGTGATTTAATTACCATGTTATATATGTTTTTGCAAGTGATGTTTATTCATAACCTTGTTTATAACATAGAATTTTGTATTTTGAGTTTAATTGAAAAATGCTTTGCACTTAAAATATATTCATGAAAGATTAGGTCGTAGATATCAGTAGTCCATCTGTACAACATATGTAAAAGTTAGATAACTTCATAATTATTGTAATAGGAAATTATTTTTTATTACCTACATATTATATGATAATGTGATCAATATTTGTATTTTGGATACTCAATTCAAACTATAAATCATAAATGTATCAATTTATATGGATTATTGAGTAGTTGATTAGCTAGGTATACTCTTAAATTATTGGTGTCCTTGAAAGTAGTTAGAACTAAAAGATATAGTTATTGATAGTAATCTCAATCTGTCATGATACTCATATTTGTCTACAAGTATCAGTCATCAGTATACCTGTTTTATTTTCAATTTTTTCTATTATACCTATATATATATATATATAGGTACATTTTTTTTAACCGATTACAATATTTACATGTGACAGACGACATTGTAACTATGTTAATAAACTAAACATGATAGTGTATAATATAATCGATTAAAAATATAAACTTGAATACATGCCAAATGTTGTGTCTTGGTTAGTTTTAAATTTATATTTTTCTCATAACATCTACCAGAAAAATACAGAATTCTATGCAAATTTATATAAAAATGTTCTAAGCGTAACATTACATTTATTTTGATGTCTTTACATTTTTTTTTTTTACATCAAACATTCTCTGAAAATGTGTATGTTGGCACTATTAACAGATTGTCTTGTTATACATCAATATTTATTCATATGAATGTGTCTTTTTTTCTAAAGAATACTTATACCTATTATACCTGGATAGGTGATGTAGGTACCTGCCCAAAAAGAGTTTAGGTATGGGTAACAATAACATAAGTTTTAATGAATTATAGAAATACTAATGCTCAGAATAGTTAAATAGATTTTTCAAATAAAGAGAATTCCTTTCAAAGCTTTAACACTGATTCCTAATTGACAAAAGTATTATTGTCACGTCCTACAATAATGAGAATATTTTGTTTTCAAAAATATTCCATTATTTCAGTAGTATCACTATCCATAGTAATTGAAAAATTGTAAAATACTGAAATACTGAAATAACAAAATAAAATAGTTGAATGAAACAATGGTATTTAGTACTCAACAAAATTTATGTCAATGGATATCCTTGGGGTACTACCAAGATAAATTGCATTTATATTTAGACAAATAAAACTAAAAATTACAATCACTATCAAAATTTAAGCTAGTGTATTTACAAAATTTAATAAAAAAATGTTTCAAATTTTCTTAGGAGCTGGAGAATCTGGTAAAAGCACAATTGTTAAACAAATGCGAATATTGCACGTAAATGGATTTAGTGAAGAGTATGTATATTCATATTACTTTTTGAATTTCAAATTAATATAAATAAATTTTATAGAGAAAAAAAACAAAAAATTGAAGATATTAAAAAAAACATTAGAGATGCCATATTGGTAAGTTTTCCTTATAATTTAATAGTTTTGTTATTAAATGTTATATATATATATATATATATTTATTTTTAGACAATTACAGGTGCCATGAGCACACTCACCCCACCAGTACAATTAGAACACCCAGAAAATCAGTTTAGGGTTGATTATATGCAAGATGTCGCTTCCCAACATAACTTTGAATATACAACGGTGAGTTATAGTTCTAATAGTTTGTGGAAAATAACTTATATTATTGTTATTTTTTTAGGAGTTTTATGAACACACAGAAATACTGTGGAAAGATAGAGGTGTACAGTCTTGTTTTGATAGATCTAATGAATATCAACTCATTGACTGTGCTAAATAGTAAGTATTTTACTTCAATATTTTCAAAAAGTAACCTTAAGGTACCTATGTTATTTATTTWAAAAAAATGCCTATATAATCAAAGAAAGACTTCAAAAACATAATATATATATATGTTCAGTATTTGTTTCACGTAGCACAAAGTAGTGTCTTCTGTCATTTAAAATAAGACATAATATTTAAATTTTAAATTTTCTATTTGGTTATTTTTTTTATTTTTTTTTTTGTTTAGTTGTAAGACAGTTGACACTAACTAAATTATTTGTTTTACATACAATATATAGTCATTTTTAAGTAGTATGTTAGCATTTATGAAAGTTTAAATTTAATATTTTTTAAATATAAATCTATTTCAAACATGTGTATTCTGTTTGATTATGATTTATTGATTATTAGTTATTAGTTATTACTGTTATTAGTGCTTATTATACAACCTAAAGTGTATTATTTCTTGTATTAATATAGTATTATTATTATATTTATTTTAAATTAGAAACAGAATAAATAATCTTTCTTTGTATGGTTATTAAATATTTATTTATTTATTTATTTCAGTTTTCTCGATCAAGTACACATTATCAAGCAAGTAAATTATACCCCTTCAGAACAAGTAATTAAATACAATATTTTTACTTAGTTATGTTATAAAAATATCTACTAAATCTTACGTATTCTATATTTTACTAAATATTAATTTGTGGTCAGTTAATGGCATTGGTAAAATATAGCCTACCAGGTAATTTGTCTAGTTTAAAATTGTGTTAAATTAATCAATTTAAATATTTTAGGATTGTGATTTTATAACTTTTAATGTGGCGGTACCAACATTGATTTACACTTATAATTTTCATCTTATGAGATTGAATTAATTTTGTCTAACAACTTAACAATCTCAAAAAACAATGTACTTAAAGAGGATGCCATACCACGCATGTGTTGCTTTCGTCTTACAAGTGTGTAACAGCTAATTTAAGCTCAGACGATCACATTTAGCTCTGTCAGCTTAAAGATTAAAGTTAAATACAATTTAAAAATAGAACATTATCTGTTTTTGTATATAGGGATTTTATGGTTGTTCATTTTTGTGCGTTATAACCATTTTTAATTTACGCTATATTATAYATACAAAACTTGCTAAAAAAATTAAAGTATCTTAAAATCCCAATGAACAAACTCGGATAATATACTTACCTTTGAATTTTATAAAAGGTCCATTCACTCTAATTTTTAAACTAATGGAGTTAAATATAATCTACTAAACGTAATGTAATTTGTTATGTTATACTCTTGTAAGACAGAGACAACATATTCTGGTATGGCGTCTTCTTAATAATATTTAATATTATATAATATAGTGTTTAGTTTTACAACCTAAAGATATTTTTATCAATAACAACTACTTTATCGCATATAGTTTTGTTTAGACTATTGTAACTATAAGAAATAATTATTTCAGTATAATAATAATTCAAAGTAAATAGACTACTTAATAACTTCTTGATATGCCAAATACTTAATCGTTGCTAAATAAATGTTTATGTTGTAAAGTATTTGAGTAAAAATTTATAAAAAAGTATTCAAATACTTTTTTTTGTATCAGATACTATTTTAAATACAACTTTGAATCGATTATTTTAAATGTTTTGTACAGTTTTAAATAAAAATTTAATCTGCTTTTATGAACTAAAAACAAAATTTTTTCATTAGTTACGCATAATATGGGGTAAACAATTATATTGATATCTATAATTGTTGTTTTAGATACTCAAAAACTTACAAAAATAATAAGAAACTATAAAATGTCTATTTATGAGTTGATGTGTTATTTGAAGCTACTAAAACAGGCAAATATTAACTTATATTTTTAATTATTCTCATGATACAGAATAAAAAATATGCCCAGAGTAATAAATTTCCCTATGTAATTTATGATAAGTTTATTATAACAATAGTATTGTTTTAATTTAGTTTAATCCATGTTTCAATTACTCTTATGAAGGTGGTATTTGGATAACTTTTTTAAAAACAGAGTTGTTAAGTTGTTACTAAAATAATTTTAAGAACAATTCCTTACAAAATTATATTTTAATTTTATTAAAAAGCAGATAATCAATTAAATATCAACTTGAATATAGTATGTTCTATATATTTTTCAAATTTGTTATTATATTTTAATAAATAAATTATTTTTAGGACATACTTAGGTGCCGTGTTTTAACTTCTGGTATATTTGAAACACGATTTCAAGTTGAAAAAGTTAATTTTCAGTAAGTATTATCTTTGAAATTATTCCATCACAGTAATAGTTACTTTTAAAATGTATTTTATTTTTCAGTATGTTTGATGTGGGAGGCCAAAGAGATGAAAGGCGTAAGTGGATACAGTGCTTTAATGATGTCACTGCCATCATATTTGTGACTGCTTGTAGTAGTTATAATATGGTTCTTAGGGAAGATCCCACTCAAAATCGACTCCGTGAGTCATTAGACTTGTTCAGAAGCATATGGAACAACAGGTATTTAGTTTTTTTAATTTTATTTCTATTGAGTTCTACATCTTATTTTATTTTTTAAAAGATGGTTGAGAACGATATCAGTTATATTGTTTCTGAATAAACAAGACTTACTAGCAGAAAAAATCAAGGCTGGCAAATCTCGACTAGAAGATTATTTTGCCGAATTCACCCGTTACCAAACGCCAATGGATGCTACTCCTGATCCGGGAGAAGATCCTCCAGTTATTCGCGCCAAATATTTTATCCGAGATGAGTTCCTTGTATGTTATTTGTATCAATTATATTGTTTATTTTTATGGTAGAACAATAAGTAATACTATTTATATTATGTATTTTTTAACTGGTTTATAGCGCATCAGTACTGCCAGTGGCGAGGGTAAACATTACTGTTATCCACATTTCACCTGTGCTGTTGACACTGAGAACATCAGACGTGTGTTCAATGACTGTCGCGACATCATACAGAGGATGCACCTGCGCCAGTACGAGTTGCTATGATCTCTCCCTTACCCACTCACATATACATACACAGGTCTCTTAATTATTCTGCAGCAATTTTGAGTAAGTAATTTAATTGTTTTAAGATACCATTTATTTGGGTTCTCAAATATCTCTTTATTGAATATAATATTCATTATTAATTTTTTTTTATTATTAATAACTTTATGTTTGAAAATTAGTTACCAACCAGTTTTTTTTTATTAGATACCAACTTTTCTTAATTTAACWATGTTTTTTTTTATTTTGTTCAATTACTATGATGAATACAATTTATTTATTTAGTTATAAATTATGATTTTAAAATAAATTATTACTGCTCTGTACAAATACTTATTCATAGTTTATATAGAAATTTTGATTTTTAAAATCATTATTTGTAGTAATATAAATTAATTTTCTCTTTGGTCAATAAATTTCTTATACATCAATTTTTTTTTTCAGTATTAATTGTGCTGAGTTATAAATCACTTTTTATTTTTAATGAAAAAGTAAATTTTAAAATCCTCAAAATATGAATATCTTATGTATTTTATTTTTATTGCTTTTTTTTGCATTTTTCTAAGTTAAACTATTCAAATCTTTAATTATTTATGACATACCAAAGACTATTAGAAAATAAATTTATTATTGTTATATTTGTTAATAAATATCTTGTTTGATTTATTATTTCATGTAAATTATTATGTGTTTTTATTTAATTTTATAAAAGGTATACACATTTATCCAGTAAAAATATTAAGAATATAATAGTTTTATTCTCCATCAAAATTTGTTTATTGGAAAGTAAGACTTCATACAACTAAACATGAAAAATAAACTACCTAAATTAACAATTTTTTTTAAATAAATTAAAATAATCATACATTTTTTATGTTTAAAAATAAATTACTACAAATTATATTGTATTAGTTACTATATACTTGTGTTTTTGATAATAATATACAAAATACAATGATATAAAAATGTGTATCACATAATTTATGCTTATAAATTTTAATTTATCTACTGACTATAATAAGGAGACTTAATATAGAAAGCCCCCCCCCCACTTAAAAAAATATCTTAAAAAAGTATTTACTAACCAGAGGAATGTAGTTGTAGTTAGTTTGTTGTTACTCCAATGAAGGTAGTATAAGAAATATTTGGAAAATGTAATATATTCTGATCAATGACTCATTAAAAATTGTATTGCTTATCAAATTATCCATTCGTACATAAAATGTATCAATTTATCACAGTATAACCATGTTATATAAATATTTGCTAGTGTCTACAGGGTTTAACAGTATTATAATTTAAAAAATTATTAATTATTCACTGTATGCAAATGTAAAAATGCATAATTTCATAAGCTTTAAGTTTATAATGGATCATGGTTCAAAATAATTCATATATTTTCCAAAAACCATAAACAATTCTTATATTGCAATGAGTTGAAGTAAATACTGATATGACTTCAGCGTTAAATTAATAAAATATCAATAACCCCATTAAAATATTTAAAAAAATAAATAAATAAATAAATAATATTTAAAATAAAATGTATCAATTAATTCCTTTTAAATTATCTCTGCTAAAAGACTATTGTGATGTTTTGTTACATTAATTTTTGTTTGTGTCTATTGTTAGTCTTATATTTTATTATTAATATCAGTTATTAATACAACTTTAACTGGTTTGCAACCTACCTTATCTAACAATTTGATTTTTTCAATTTTATGTTGTGACTATCATCAAATAATTTCTTCAAATTTGAGTTGGTAAATAATGTGTAGAAATTAAAATTATGTATTACTAAAATCTATCATAAATATGGAAAGATAAAAATATAATTCATAAAATATAAAACATAGTTTTTGAAAATTAATTCATATTTTTTCTTAATTCAATTTCAGAATCACAGGTTATCAAATACAAAATCATTTCAACAAACCTAAACATTTCAGTAGTATGTAAATAAGATTGATTCCTTGTGGTGAGCGTTCTTTTACAAGCAGCCAAATAAGGTTTTTGCAAAAAGAATACATATCTAGATATTAGGACCTTTGAAGATGTATAGGTACCTATGTTTGCCTAGTCACAGTTTTAGATAATTTATTAGCAGAAGTAGTTAAAAAAAATTAACAATTAAACTTAAATCCTATACAATTATAAAACATTTAATTTAATTTTTGTTTCATTATGTTGTTCAATGCCTAGTACAATGGATATTATAAAATATATTCACCAATAAATACATTTGTTTTTTTTTTTTGCTTTTAAAATTGGTGATAAATTTTCTAACATAGTAATATTATAGTATGTAAAATTACATTGTCAATGGTTATATTATTGTTAACTATTATTTACCAGGTACTATAATGTCCTAACCTAATGATTATATTATTTGTATTAAAACTGATACCTAGTTCAAGCCTGTTAACTACAGTTGAATGCCCAAATTCAATGATGTAAATAATTGTATGCATTAATATAACTTTTTTTAACTATAAAATATTTGCAACGTTCCATTACAAAAAAAAAAAAATCGCACAATTGAAAGTATATATTTATTATTTAAATATATATAAATTAATTTTTAATATTACCGTTATGAATGTTATACCAGTAAATCCAATGGTAAAATTTCCAAATCTTATGTAATTACGTGTATAGACAAATATAACTAATTATTATATTATGTTTGTAACTTACTAGTTTCTTTAAATAATGTATTATTTGTTTCTTGTTATAAGTTTTATTTATAAGTTATAATATATTTTTTGCTCTGGGATAATATATGCATTTTTAAAAGAACAACAATTTGTTAACATAACAGAAAAGCATTATTAAGAGTTGGAATACAAATTTCCTGTGCTTATTATCAATATTAATTGTGCAACATGAACATGTATCAATATTTTGTTTATATTTATTTATTGATTTGYATTTAATTTTCTTTTTGTTTGGTGCTGCTTGCTTATACTTCCTTCCTCTCTCCATTCTCCATTATTATCAATTCTTGTTAAACTAAAATAAAAACATGTACAATTATTAAATCTAGGTTTTGATTTTTATTTTTCATAAGTTAACCAGTGTTTTTTTCTTCAGAGGGTGATATTAAAACTAGGATTTTTTTAATGTTGTTTATTTACATTATTATTATTTTTTTTTTTTGTATATATATATTTAGTGTGAGGGTCTGCCAATATAAACATCATCGTGCAAGTGTCAGTTGAAACCATTATTGTATAATTAGTCGTTCTTTTCATTATGTTATATTATGTATGTATGTATGAATATAAACATATATATTACATACACTATGCATAATAGTAATGTATAACCTAAAAAAAAAAATGTAATACATTATAATTAAATATTACTAMTTTGTTGAGTTTTTATACATAAAAAAATGTGTTTATTATACATACAATTATGTATTGCTTTATGTTTATACCTATTTTCTTTATTATTTGTAACTTATAGTTGAATTGTTTTTCTTTTATTTTCTTTTTGTGTTTATTTTATTGTTTCAATTACTTATTATTTAAATTAACTTAAGAAAATAAGTTTTTAAAAAATAGTAGTTTCTGGAATTTAGGAAAAATGTTGTTAATTTTTTTTTTATTCTATGATTTATTTAATTGTTGAAAATAATATTGTACATTTTAATTGCGTATGAGTAATAACTTTGTACAAAAGAAAAAATTAGCGCAATAAATAATATTACAATATATATATACATATTATATATTATATATATATGATATAATATGTATATATAATATATTTATTTTATTATTGTTTTTTTTCCATTGGTATCGACGTTGCTGTTTTAAATAGCTAATTGTAATTTTACCATTAAAATAATAAAATAAAAATTTAATTTACCTTCTATGTATCCTTAAATAATTTAAATATTTAACTGATTAATAATTATATTTTATAGTTAAGCAATAATATAAATATTTTATAAAAAAAAAAGGGTTGGTAGATACTTGTTTGTTATTCCGCAGCTCTAGTCCAGTGGTCAGACCACTATCCGTTAGTAGTATTCAAATATTTGATACAACATTTTAAAACTTATGAATGATATATTTCTGAGATTTTAGCGAGTCTGTTATGCAATTTATTTATAGAAAAGAGTAAAGATACTACCTAATTAAAACATTAAATTGTTGTTAATATAATATGTGACTCTATGTTGTCGCCACCATGACTAAAGATTAAATAAATTTAATATTGGAATTTCAGATACCTTCCAAAAACTAATAATCCAAATTAAAAATTGACCTAACAAATAGTTTCTCCAATTCTACAACTCAAAACTACAGTGTTAATAATTATGAAAGAAAATTATTACCTATGTATACTGGTAGGCAGTAGCGCTTGCAGTATTATACAATTAGCCACTAAAATTGGATTTATATTTCACAATGCCACATTCTAACCATGATTAATATATTGGATTATTATTTATATGAACATATTAAGAAAACATTTTTTATACTTATTAGTGAATAATCAACAGCAAAATGTTTGTTTTTAAAAGGTGTTATTCATATAAAGTAGGTATAAAGGAAGTCTGGTGTCTACTTCAAATTTTACTGCTTTAATCTATACAACTTAAAAGCATATGTACCTAAGTATTTATAAATCTAAAATAATTTTCAAGTTATAAAGAAACTCAGTGGCATTACAAATATATATATATATATATATATATTTAGGGCAATTAAAGCCAAACATTATTAGGTGGGTTGGTTATTTTATTAAGGGGACATTACATTATCATTATTTTGTTGTCTCTATCTTACAGGTAACTACCATAGGTAGTTAGTACCCAATAAGTACATAAATAACCTATGTAGCATACCAAATTTTACTCTCGGTRTAGATCACATTTRGCTCTATAAGCACAATTTATAGTATGTGTCTACGTTTAGCTCCGTTAGTGTAAAAAATTATAGTGAATTGACTTCTTATTAGGTAAAATTTTTATCTGTGAAATGTTGTTAGATTTGTATTATATTTTAATTTTAAAATGGTAATGATGAGTATACTTAAAGAAGTACAAACGATTTCTAATTTTAAAATACTTGTAACTCGCTTTAAAATAAAAAGTTTATAACATTGCCGAGATAAAAAGCTTACCTTTAAATATTTAATTTTTTTAGAAAGTCAATTCATTCTAATTTTAGACTAACAGAGATAAACGTATTTGCTGAGCGTAAAAATTGTCATGTTACGGAGTTAGATACGCACTTTTGAGACGAATATCAGTGTTACGTATAGCCCAGCCAGGGGATTATTAAACTTGATAAGTTCTGCTTTAAATGAGTTTGACTTCGAGAAAAAGTTAGTCGGCCAATGTTACTATGGAGCAAGTGTAATGSCAGGACATTATTTGACAGGATTACAAGCGAGAGTTAAAAATGTTGCACCCAATGCAATATTTACTCACTGTTTAGCGCATAGGTTAAACGTGGTACTGCAAAATGGCTGTAATATGAATTCAAAATTTCGCTTATTTTTGCAAATCTAACTGGCATGTCAGCCTATTTCCATAATTCCATCTCACGCACTAACGTTTTTGATTCTATCGTAGGAAAACACATATAGGTACCTATGTCAAACTTTGTAAATTGTCTTGTTGAAATAAAATATTGCGAGTGACTCTAGTACAGCAATGCCTATATGGCTATATATAGGTGCAATGAGAAATATGCTAATTATTTCACCTATCCGTTTGGTCATATTATACAGAAAAATGATGACGAGTATACGGCAGCTAGGGTGTAATCGGAAGATAGAATTGAACTAATTGAAGTGAACAATAGGGGACTTATAACTTATAAAGTTATAAGTGAAGAATAATAGCTTTTACGTTGTTTAAAATATTTACATTTGGAGTRGATGTGCAGTGGCACGTCACAAATTAATGTAGGGTACTAGGGTATAGTATAGAGCGWAATGTTTGTATTGTTATTTATAAATTATAATTTAAAGCCAACTTTATTTATTTTTTAATTTTACAGTTACCTAGTACAGTAGGTACGTACTTAATAGTACGTATTATTTGATACCTAATTTGAGCACGATATTTTGAGATAGGTATACACTATACTGCAGTATGTAAAATAATTATTGAAGAGTCAACAATCAACATCTGTATCTATTGATTGTTCAATGTTCATAGATTTCTATCTGAACACATAAGATCCGTATTATACGACTTTTACAACACAACAGRGGCGGTTTGAATGTATTATATTTAGTGGTGCAAGACAATATATAGACACCCACTCACCAACCCCCCTTCATCATATAGAAATTACAAATAAATATTTTTTACAAGCTTATAGTTTATAATAATAAGGTCCTTATATTCTTAACTCGACGCTTTCAACAATTTCAGCCACGATTAGGTACTTTATTATTTTTTTCATTTATTGAACATTAAAATTAAACATTGCGCACAATATGCTCAACTAAGACCACCCACCCCACCCCCC